GGGATCTTTCTCGTTCGTTGCCCGTTATCGGGCGTTGGAGCATCGAGTTAGGGAAGCGGACAGAAGCGGATTGATTAGAATCCCGTAACGGAAGCAAATAGGCGTGCTCGGCTCGAGGCCAGCCTTTATTGAGATCCGAGTGGCCGAAGAGAGATTGGCGCCCGCTTCGTGCGGACGTGTGCCCGCCGGCGATTCGCTCCTCTCGCTCGAAGAGATCTGCGAACAGACGGTTGATACTTGCGCCGATACACACACACACAAGCGCAATTTTGAATCGGAAAGGAATCCTCGAAGGGGGGTTAATCGTGTCTTGAATCGCTGTGAGAACGGCTGATAAAAACGGTTGATATCGCGAATTCACGTTTCGAATTGCAAGCTGAAATTGTTCATCCGAAGAGAAAGAGAGAGAGAGAGAGAAAGAGAATTGGAAAATGAATGGATTGTGAACACGCGAGATGGTTTATGTAACGGAGATTGGATTATCATAATTGTCTCTGAACCGCGGGATGGAATTATGCAATATCATTTACCAAGGTTTCTGGTGGGTATCTGATGTATCTGATTATCGGGGATCGATTGGCTTTTACGAGAATGGATTCGAAAGCTAGTCGTCGTATTGAAATTGCATCGCAATTTGCAATCCATCGTTTCCAATTTTTCCACCGCGTGGAAAACACGATTCTCTATTCACGATTATTTCTTTTTTTTATACTATATACATTTTGACGAGTACACGGTGATCGTTCATCCGGAAATGATATGCACCGATTCCTTTTGGATAGCACGAGGCGCGAGCAAAACGAAATATTTTCCCTTCGGTGAACCGTTTCGGTGTCGTTTCTCGCGTATTTTCCCTTTCGCATCCGGTTCGCGCATCGTAGCTATCGAAAAAAGGAGGGGAAAACAGGGGGAAGAAAAGGATAAATCGACGAATCCTCTGGAGGAAGCGTGGGGCGAAAGATTTGATTTGTCTATGGGGTTGGTTATAGACACGGCGTCGCCGCCTCGGGAAAAAGATTGCCTTCGATTCGACCTCGATGCGGGATCTTGAGGGACTGCTTTCAGACCAGTCAGAAGTAAACTCGATCTTCCTGTTATCCGTTTAAAGAAAGTGGGGGAGGGGGGATGATCGAAAGACTTGGAGCGTCTTCTGTGGAGTGAAAAAAGATTCTCCCTCGAAACCTTTACTTTTCCTTGTCGAAATTCTACTGCTATGCTGGATTCGTAATGGATCGAACAACGAGGAAGGAACACGACTACAATCGTCGTCTTCAAGAGACGATCGATCGATAATTTCCTCGAGATCTCGTTTCTTCGTCGTCGTCGAGATAGGGCCGCTCTCTATCTCCTCGTCCTCCGGCGACGAGAGGTTGCCCTCGGTTGTTTGTAATTACCGTAGCCGCGAAGGAGTAACACACCGTATATACAGCGTGTACACGGGCCGGGTGTTTGCCGATACCGGTCGTGACGATAACATCAACCGCGAGACGAGCGTTTGTCTGAGACACGACGACGAGATAGGTGGCGAGAATCGTTTCGAGGGCGTGCGAAACGAGGGAGCACGGTGTTGCCTCCAAGCCAAATGTTTGCTTTGTGCGTTTATAGCGGGATTATGCGCGCCTCGGGGAATTACGAGGATAAGGAGGAATCGCGGGAGAATGGATGGAATTTCTTCGGGTGGACGATTTTTCACGGATATTTGATATCCGCGTGGAATATGTTCGTGAAATTTAAAATCTTTTTTTATCCTTTAGTCTCATCAACAGATTCTTATCGCTATACGATCCTTACACGAGGAGCGTGTATCGACACGACACGATTCAGAGAACAATTCAATAATGCAAAGTGAAATCTATATGTATCCTTGCGGAGCCTCCTTCGAGGCGCGAGCAACTATTCCGATACGGGATACGACAGTAAAGGTATTCCCAAAATGGGGATCTCATCGAGGCTATTCATGCATGTGCATGAGAGAGAGAGAGAAAGAGATAGAGATAGTGGAGAAGATCGAGGGGATGGAAAGGCGTTGGAGGAAGACGTTAAGGGGCTGTTAAGGGAGAAGGTTTGGACAGGGCGTAACAAAGGGGCAGATGATTAATACGTTATTTGGGAGCGGAAATTCACTTGGAAAGTGTCGTTTGCACGGTGCTCCGCGTATAAACGGAGCGAGGAAGGGCCGCTGTTCATCTTCCTCGAGAGGGAGGATTGTTATCATTCCTGGGGAAACGGATTCACCCCGATTCAAGCCTCGTGCAAACTGTCGTGCTGATTTTTTCTTTCTTTCTTTTTTTTCTTTCCTTTCTCCTCCTAGTTGTGCAAACACCAGAGAATATCTGCGTCGAAGAGGAAGGAGACTCGAGACGAATTCGTGGAGGGATCAGGTTCTCTCTCTCTCTCTCCCTTGGAAAGTTTATTCTAGCCCAATCGTTTACTTTTTACATAGAGAATTTCGCCGCAATGTACCCTTCCGCCTTTTGCCCGATATCCCCTCCCTTCTTTTCATTCTCGAGAATGCTCGTTACTCCGTCCTTTTAATCGAATCGTCGCGACCGAGAATTTTTATATCATTCCTCGCTCGTTGTGTTCGCAGATGGAATCCGATGGGACAAGGCAAACCGATCTTTCAGAAGGCTCGAGAAGAATTTCGAGAAGGACGAAACTAATTCCAACGCGAATTAGAATAGCCGTCGTAGTAGCAGTGCTAGTAATCCGAGATAAATCGTGATATAAGAGAAGCTCTCTCTCTCTCTCTCTCTCTCTCTCTCGGCTTATGAGAAGAGAATAGACGCGTTGAAAGTTGATCTCACGCGTGTACTAGGTGCAAAATGGCGCTTGTGAAGTTTGTATAAAAGGGTTGTGAAGTTTCAGTTCTCAAGTTCGATGGAAAACACCGCTGGAATTTGCGATTTGCCTGTTCTAATTCCAACTTTCTAGCGGGCACTCGCGGACAATTAACTCGTTTCTGGCTCGCGTTCACGCGTCCTGGGAAAGGATTTTCTGCCACTTTCATTATAACCTCGATGATTTTTTTTTTTTTTTTTAGAAAACGGGGTCAAAAATTCTGGAACGAATCAATCTCGATAGAGTGGCACTTTGCCCGGCAAGCAATGTTATCGTACTCTACACTTTATGTCGATCTTCGCCGATGTTGCTCGCTCTCTTCTCGACAACCCTTGTTGAGCCAATATTCGAGTTCCCATTTTAGATCAATGGTACGTACTATCTTCGTATCTGTCATTACCTTTAAACCCGGCTATTTTTATACAAATTGAACGTAATACGAGGAAATTTAATATCTTCAACTTATGATACGACATCTGATTTATTTCGAAGAAACGAAATAATCCGTCCAATACGATATTACAAATATATCGCATAAGAAGAACGGGCAATTTAAAATCTATGTAACAGAATTACCGATATATATTTGCAAATACTACATTTTTCTTAGTTGCAATTTGACCTCTTCCCGATTCTGACTCGTTATGAAGATTTCGACCCAAACATGAATAGCACGAGTGGGATTCGTGGAATGAATTTTTTCAATCGAGAATGCTTTAATTTTTACCAGTACGATCGACGAGAAAATCACGATTCTTAAAATCTGCGTTGCAAAGTGCCCTACCGCCCGAATTTCGTCGAAGCTAAATGATACGGTTAATTATCGAATCCGGCCAAGAGCATTCGCATTCGTTTTCAATAATTGCGAAATTGATCGATTCTGACAAAGACCTTAACTCTGTTCTCCTGAATCCATCGAATTTCCAACATTTGGCGTTTAGGCGTTTTCAGCTCGACAGAGTTAGGTTTCATCCAAGTGCGTCGCAATAAATCTCGATGCAGCGTGTTGGCGCGCTATCATGCAGATTGGCCTTAATGGCGGCCGATAGTGGATCGCGTTTAACGGCGCGTATCGACATTTTAAAATAGCATCCAACACCGTTCGTTTTTTTTTTTTTCAACGGGCGAGAATCGGTCGATTAAACAACGATGGGAACGTTTAACCCGCGTGATCGTTAATTCGGCTCGTCTTAAGCCACAGAACTTTGTTAAGCTCACGCTCGTTGATCGAGCGACGTAAGAACCATGCTTCGTCAACTTTCCAAGCTCGAGCTTGTTCGAGCTCGAAGGGTAAGTCGAGATCGATATAATACGAGAATCTATGCGAGATTTTTAGATTCTTTTTAGACACTTATTATTAATAATGCTCGACCGTATTATTAAGTGTGCAAATAAGTTCCTTCCCTCTTTTTTTCTACGATCATAACTTTTGACCGAATTCGTATTACTTTACCGTTTGTGTTGCCGTTTAAAACAGCGTTCTTTCGTTTTTAAGAAGAGTCGTGATGAACGCTCTAAGAGTTTCCAGTCCTGTGCATTTATCTTTTGCATTTCAGCTTAGGAAATCAGGCTAGTGAAACGGTTTGTGAGAGAGAATACTTATCTTACAGAACGTGCAAAAAGTGATATCAAAGATTTAGAGGCGGAAATTTTAATTTGAAAGACGACGAAAATTGGCAGAAGGATTGGGAGTCACCAGACAAGCAATCTGGTCTTGTATCTATCCGAACAATTGGATGATCTTGAGTATTTAATTTATGTAATAAAATTTTGAATGTGGAAAAGAAAAGAGAAAAAAACTTATTTGCACACGTAATATCGCGGATGAATGATGTCGGGTCAATATAGATTTCTATTTTATTTTTTTTTTTTTTTATATTCCGAGTTTTGTCGATCCTTTCAGTTTGCCGAAGCTTGTGCAAACGAACCGTCGAATGTTGGAAATTAAAAGAGACAGACGAAACGAAACGCTCGACCGAGTAAGCATTCTCGCTATTTTTGGAATTTCACGATTTACAACGATTTACAACTGTGTGTAATAACAGTTGAGAATGGGAACGAATCGTCAAAAGTAGAAAAAAAAAAAACAAAACGAAGCAAAAAAATAAACAAATAAACAAAACAGAAGAGAAATAAAATAAAACGAGGCAAGGTTTTACCCATACTGATTCCAGAGCTGGACGGATCCTCGTTCTTGGCGCCCCAACTTCCGGCCAAATTGAGCGCGAGCAAAGGCCTCTCCTTGAGGAGCTCCGCGACCGAGGCCAGTCCCTCGCATCCGCATCCCAAATGGGGCAAGTGAAGCGCCTGCACTTGAACGCAGTCACGAAGAGCATCGCAGACCCTGGACACTTGCTCGCCGGACAGATTCATGTCGAGGACCAACCGTGCCAGGCTGGTCGACGCGTGACTCAGCCCACGGCAAAGGGCGTTCACCACGCACTCCAATCTGGAACACAAGCAAAACGGTGGGGATAAATTCGCCTCTGCTCGCTACGTACGAATTCGTTCAGGCCGAAACCTCCCCATTCGAAACACCGGGGATTGGCCTCGAATCATTTGCTCATTCGATTCACCCTCTGTTTGTGACCCGAAATCATTCTCATTTACCCACGGACGTGGAAACGTGGATTCGAATGGGGGGATTAAACAGCCGTGTTACGGTCACTTGGCCACCAGGGATAATCGAAACGTGTCCCGATGTTTATCCCCTCGATATATATATATATATATATATATATATATATATATATATATATACACACACACACACACACACACACACACACTATT